ATATATATATATATATATATATATATATGTGTAAACTTATGTCTGTATACCTATACGACCACCCTTCGGGTGATAAGGAGGTTGTGGGGGGGGAGAGGGGGGGGAACCAACATCTGACTCACTCGTTCTCACTATCGATCTCACTCAACGGGACACCACGAGACACCACGGGACACCTCTCGATCTCACTATCGATCTCACTATCGATCTCACTCAACGGGACACCACGGGACATCACGGGCCACCACGGGCCACCACTGGACACCGCGGGACAGCTCTCGATCTCACTATCGGTCTCACTATCGTCGATCTCACTCAACGGGACACCACGGGACATCTCGGGACACCACATCGATCTCACGATCGACCTCTCGCAACGGGACACCACGGAACGCCGACGGACACCTGTCGACACCGCATCGATCTCAGTATCGATCTCAGTATCGATCTTACTATCGATCTCACTCAACGGGACACTACGGGACACCTGTCGATCTCATTGTCGATCCCACTATCGGTCTCACTCAACGGGACACCACGGGACACCAAGGGCCACCACGGGCCACCACGGGACACCGCGTGACACCTCTCGATCTCACGATCGGTCTCACTATCGATCTGACTATCGATCTCACTCAATGGGACACCTTAGGACACCATGGGGCACCGAGGGACAACTGTCGATCTAACCATCGATCTCACTAGCGATCTCACACAACGGGACACCACGGGACACCACGGGACACGGCGGGACACCAGTCGATCTCACTATCGATCTCACTATCGATCTCACTTTTTGGGACACCACGGGACACCACGGGACACTTGTCGATCTCACTATCGATCTCAGTATCGCTTTCACTCAACGGAACACCACGGGACACCACGGGCCACCACGGGCCACCACGGGACACCGCGGGTAACCTCTCGATCTCACTATCGGTCTCACTATCGATCTCACTCAACGGGACACCACGGGACACCTCGGGACACCACATCGATCTCACTATCGATCTCACTCAACGGGACACCACGGGACACCGAGGGACACCTCGGTGCACCACATCGATCTCAGCATCGATCTCAGTATCGATCTCACCATCGATTTCACTCAATGGGACACAGCGGGACACCTGTCGATCTCACTGTCGATCTCACTATCGGTCTCACTCAACGGGACACCACGGGACACCACGGGACACCACGGGACACCACGGGACACCACGGGACACCACGGGACACCTCTCGATCTCACTATCGGTCTCACTATCGATCTCACTATCGATCTCACTCAATGGGACACCTTAGGACACCGAGGGACACCTCTCGATCTCACTATCGGTCTCACTATCGATCTCACTCAACGGGACACCACGGGACACCACGGGACACGGCGGGACACCTGTCGATCTCACCATCGGTCCCACTATCGATCTCACTTTTTGGGACACCACGGGACATCTCGGGACACCACATCGATCTCACTATCCGTCTCACTATCGATCTCACTCAATGGGACACCATAGGACACCACGGGACACCTTTCGATCTCATTATCGATCTCACTATCGATCTTACTTTTTGGGACACCACGGGACACCACAAGACACACCGGGGCACCACATCGATCTCAATATCGATACCAAAATGCCCGGGACACCCGGGACACCCGGGACACCGCCCGGCCCAACGGGCCACCGGCGGACGGGAAAAGAAGCCCGGGACACCCGGGACACCACGGGACACCGCCCGGCCCAACTGGCCACCGGTGGACGGGCACCCGGACTTTCGGTGCTTCTTCGGCCTAGCTACAGGAGGATCACGCGCAGCTTCGCCTCGCCCGCACGCACGACACGAACACGAAACCGAAACCGATCTCCCGGTGGGGGGTCTCCGTTTCACTGCGATCTCACCCCCCAACCTCCGATATACACATACACACGGGGGACCTGCCCCGCGGGCCCCAGGGCCGCGACCTCGACCACAAATGGATGTGCTGGGGGCCCCGGGGCGCTCCGGGGGCCGCGACCTCGACCACAAATGCTGGGAGTGCCGGGGGCCCCGGGGCGCTTCGGGGGTGCCATGGGGACCTTCGAAGATCGCCCGAAGACGGCCCCGGACTGCCAGGAAGCGCCTTTCCGGACCTCCAAAACGACCAAAGACGGTACAGATGATTCCAGAATTGGCCCCAGCCTCTTCAAGAGGCCTCCCAGACGCCCCACGAGGCCTCCAAGAGTCCGAGGCACAAATCGTTGATGTTCCGAAGGTTTTGGAAGGATGTTCGAGTTCTCGCCTTTTCACTTTCCCGACGCTCCACGACGGCCCAAGAGGCCCCAAAGTCCGCTCCGACACAGCCCAAGAGGCTTCTTCCAATAGGGCCCCAAGACGGCCCAAGAGGGCCCCGAAACGGCGCCCGAGGCGTCCAAGACTGCCCAAGAGCGTTCCAAGACGGCCGCAAGAGGGGCACAGGAGAGGCAACCCGAACCGACAATCAGAGCTTCCACCTCGAGAGGCTCCCTGGAGGAAGAGGCAAAAGTCGCTGATTTTCCAAGAAGGTTTTTGATCGATCTTCGAGAGTTCGCCTTTTCAGTTTCCCGACGCTCCAAGATGGCCCAAGAGGCCCCCAAGACCTCTCGAAGACAGCTGAAGAAGCCTCCAAGAGAGCCCCAAGACGGCCCGCGAGGGCTCCAAGACAACCCCTGAGCAGCCCAAGACGGCCCGAGAGGGCCCCAAGATGGCTCCAAGAGAGGCCCTAGGAGGGGGAACGCGAACCCAGAAGTGCCCCGAGGGTCGTCGTCCTTGATACGCCCAAGACGCCTGATAGGGCCCAAAGACGGCTCCAAAAGAGGCCCAAGAAGGGAAACACCCAGAAATGCCAGGAGGGTCGTGAGACGGCACACGTGAGCCTGAAGACGCCTCCAGAGACGCTCAAGACAGCCCCAGAGGGCCCAGGAGACTCCCCAGAAAGCATCCGACAAGCCAAAAACAATACAAAACCACAGGGAAATCAGTGATATGCAAGTGACCAAACAGACAGACTAACTGGCAGAGACATACCAACCATCTTGTCGCGAGCGGGCCCTTGCAACACCCCCTGGCGGCCCTTCTTGTGGATGCTGGAACCAGCGCCTCGCTCGAAACATTCGCACAATCTGCATTGAAAGCACAGGAGCCGGGACAACATGCTGGCCTTCGGCCCATCCCGCCACCGTGCCTGGGTGGGCTGTCAGATGCCTGATGGATGTTGGTTGGGGTTTCCTGGTTCGCCTCTCGGGGGCCGCCGAGGCAGTTTTGAGGCCCCTCGGTGGCCCTTTTGCGACATCTTGGCGCCTCTTTTGAATTTCTTCGGGGCCTCCTGGGGCGTCTGGGGGGCCTCTTTGGGGCCTCTTGGGGCCTCTTGGGGCTCTCTCGGGGCGAAAGGCTAAAATTTCCGGTTCGTGGTCCCCCTCTTCGGCCCCTCTTGGGGCCGTCTTGGGGCGTCCTTGGGCAGTCTTGGTCGCCTGTTGGGCTGTCTTGGAGCTCTATTCGGCCGTTTTGGGGCCCTCTTAGGTGCCTCTTCGGCAGTCTTGGGGCGGTCTTCGGGGCGTAGAGGACGTCTTCAAGCGTCGGACAGCCGAAAAGACGAGAAGGCCAAAATCTTTCAAACACCTCATGAATATAACAGGTGTTTACCTCTCGGGCCCTCTCGGCAGGCCTCTTGGAGGACTCTTGGGGCGCCTTGGAGGCTTCTAGGGCCGTCCTGGGGCCATCTTGGGTTTCTTCGCTCGATCTTTGGCCGTCTCGGGGCCCTGTTGGGCCGTCTTGGCGGCCTCTTGGGGACCTCTTGGTCCGTCTTGGGGCCCTCTTGGGCCCGGTAAAATAATGCGGGAAGCCGCCCCGGAGCCCAGAGGGCATGCCAGAATCCCCAGTGAAACAGCGACCAGCCCCCAGAGATTTGAGATTTTCGAGCTCGGGCCCCTGAGAAACTCTTCAGGACTGAGGATTGAGGCTCAGGGGACTGAGCCTCTCGAGGCTCTCTTGGGACCATCTTCGACTGCCCTTTGAATTTCTCCTGGTCTCCCCCTGGGGCCTCTTGAGATCTTCGTAGCGCGCCTGGTCCGGTTTCTGCCCGGTCCACGTTCTGAATTACTACTTTTCCACCACATGTTGAACAACTTGTGGGTGACTCCTGATTGCATGTGTGCGTATGCATCTGCACGCAACTGTGAGACTGTCACGGTTTGGAGCTATGTAGGACCGATGCGCGCGCGAAGCGCGCGCATGTTTCGAGTGTGTGTACATATGTGTATATAAACACATGCATATACGCATTACCCTATATTTGTGCATGTGTGTACATATATATATATATATATATATATATATGTATGTACACGTGTGCACTTATGCATATATATAGTATAAACCCCACCGGCAGTATGTGTACTGCCTGTGGAGTTTTGTATGTATACCCATCATGCAAATAGCTTCTGCTTGGAGGCGGCCAGGGGGTCTGAACTGGTTGGAACCCCAGAAAATCAGGCAGGAGGGGTGATGCGTCCAAATCCGGTCAAATTCGGTCCCCAGACCCCTCTACATCTGGTGCAGCTTCATACCCAGGATCCGTTTTTGTAGCCCTGGGACCCGAAAACAGCCCTCAGAGGCCGAAAGCTGCAAACAATCGTCTTGAACCCAGAGTCCCGAACCTCTTCCCCTCCTTCCTGCTGGCCGGAACCAGTGATGGGCCAGCTCAAACCCCCAGCAGGCTCCAAGCTTCGGGGGCGCGGCGCGCAAACATGGATTAGCGATCCATGGATCTGGCGCGCGGTCGCCAAATCCATGGATCGGGGGAGGTGCCCTCCCCAAGATGCGACCGGTGCCGCCTCGCTCGGCGGCGGAAACCCGCGATTTCCCGTGGAAGCGGGGCCCGTCGCTAATCCACGCCCCCTCGATCCATGTCTGCGATCGCCTGAAAGCTGCTGCCGTTCCTCGCCGCTGCCCCCCCTGCCCCCGCTCCGGTCCTGCAGAGACTCGGTGGGGTCGCGGAACACGACCCCCGCAAGCTGCGCTTCCGGCTCGGGGCCGCTGCCCCAGGCCGACTGCACGGTGCAGGGATGAGCCCACGCGTCCTGGAGATATTTTGTCATTGCTCCTCCTCCTCCTCCTCCTCCTCCTCCTCCTCCTCCTCCTCGCGGTCTGGAATCTGGGGCGCGATCCCGTGGGCACGCGGTCGCATCGACACGGCCCGCGCGGGGCAGCCGCGACAAAGCGCCCTGCGTCCACGGGGCGTTTGCCCAGGAGCCGGGCCCCACAAGGCTGCGGGCACGGATCTGTTTTTCGCCCACGGATCGCCAGGGGCACGAGAGCCCTAAGTCCGACTTTGCTGGGTTTGCGAACGGACCAGAAACTTGAGGCCGAACTCGGGGATATACGGATGGGGGGGCGCCCATCCTCGATAGGGGTGCGTCCGAATAGCTCCCACAGGGGTGTATCCGCAAGCTTCCCCTCCAATGCCTGAGCGGCCACACTTTTTGGGTGAACCTCGGGTATGGGGCCAGTACAGTGGAGGCCAGTCCACAAGAAACCTCCCACAAGAAGCCCAACCCTGAGACCCCAGAACGTCCATGGATCTTTGGTGTGTGTGTGGGACCGTCACGCCTTCCATCTTAAAGCCATCGAAACCCAAGAAACCCAGGGCACCCTGGAGGCAAGCAGGGTGTTCCCTGGCATGGGCTTCCACTGTACACGGAAGAGTGACCCTGGGGCAAGAGTGACTTCTGGTGCGCGAATTTTTGGGAGGCCGCGGGGGGACCACGCAAAAGCGCGCAAGGCGCTACCACCGCACCGCCTTCGGCGAGCGGGGGGGCCGAGTGGGCCCGCACCAGAGGTCACACCAGCGAAGGGTCACTCTTATACGCGCAATCGACCCAGACAAACGACGTCCGGATTTTTCCGTACGGGGCCCATCGGAGTCCCGACCCTTTCCCCGGGACCGGTTTTCATCCTGAATCTTTCTTTGACGGTCCCGAGTCCTGGCGACGGCCCCCCGAAGCCGAAAGTAGCCAAAACCTCACGTCCATTTGGTTTTACGACGCGATCGTGCCTGGGGGATGGGGGATGCGGAGGATGGGGGCCCGCACGGGCACCACCGCAGGGGCGGGCGCGTGCCGCAGCCTCGTGGCGGTGTGTGCGGTGGTGTCGCTGGCACGACATGCTTGCGAGCACGAGCAGCACGCCGGCAACCGCCAGTGCGTTTTTGACCGCCATGTGCTGAAGGAAATCGGGCCTCCCTGATCAGCTCGAGCGCGCGAGCGCCACAGTTTGCCCAAGAGCGTGCCAGCCCCTAGCACGTACTGCAACAGCGGCTGCGAACATCATGTCGCGAACACGTACCACCACGGCCTGCGACCACAACAGTGGTACACCACATTTGGACAGCAGTATGCTGAACCCTCGCAAGCGCCAGAGTTCGCCTGCAACTACGCAGATACGGTAGCGAGCACCAGATACGCCTGTGGGCGCCAATCGTGTGCGTGATTGCCACCACCACAAGTCGAAAGAAGCTCGACCATGCCAAACCGCACTAGCCTGCAAACGCCAGCCTGCCAATGCACGCGCCTGGGTCCACGGTGACGCCGCGCGACTGTGATGCACCTGTGTGGCGCGCCCGCTTGCTGAGCCGGCGGCCACCAGGGGGGCACGTTTGGCCTAGCCGATCTGTGGTGAGCCTGGAGGCGACGGTTGTCCCCAAGGTGGATGCAGGAATGCTGATTGTGATCGCGCCGATTGGTGCATCTCGTGGTGTGACCAGGGCCTCGGCGGCGCCAGACGGCGGGTACTCCTCGGGCGCCTCGCAAGCCGCGGCAGCTACATGGATGCGCGTGACCTCGCGCGCCGCCAAGCGTGGCCTACATGTCAAGCATTGTGAGAAGGGTGCTCGGGCCTGGTCGCCGCGAGGTGCCGTCTCTACCGCTCGCGCCCGGGCATTACTCGGGGATCCTCTGACCCGGGTCAATCCAGACCCGGGTCAGCAGGAAACCAAAAACTGCAATGCAGGAAAAAACAGCAACGCAGGTCCTCGCAAACCCGGGTCAGCCAATACGCGCGGCCGCCTCGCGGCCACGAGCGGCTCCCTGACCCGGGTCAGCCAGAGGGGGTCTTCGCAGGATCCTGCAGGACCTGGCGCTCTGGCTGACCCCCGTTTGCACTGACCCCCGTCTCAAAGCTCCCGAATTACAATAGCTCGCGGCGGCCCGGGCGTCAGCGCAGCTCTGATAGAAGCATCGGCCACATCGAAGGATGGCGGACAGGTCTGAGTTGACGCAGCGGTCCAAACAAATGCAGCACATGTCATCGGTGTCGACTTCCACTTCTGTGAGTTCTGACTCGGCGCGTAGATCCAATGGCAGCGACGGCGGCGGTGCGGCCGGAGGTCCGGCCGCGACCGTGTCCCATCTGGCCACGGGAGACAGCGGGCTGCATATCTCGGGGGCCCGGTCGTGTGTGACGTTGGTCCTGATAGCCGCGGTCGGCACCTCTGCTAGTCGCTCATCTCCGCGGCGTTGCACGTCTGGCAGGGCAGCCCGCATTAGCTGACCTTGCCGAATCCGCTGATGTGAGGGATGGCGCTCCGCTGATCGTCGGGGGCCGCGAGCTGGCCCATCGGCGGGATGATGGCGCCTGCGCTGCGCTGATGGTCGATGGGGCTCACTTCGCAAGGGGCCCGCGCATCTGCGGTCCACCGGGGCGAAGCCTGCGGAAGGACGAGTTCCGTCGGCGGCTGCCGCGTGCTCCGTGGCGGCAGCGGCCGCGCCGGGGACCGGCGGCAACACTGGCGTTTGTAATGGTCCTGAAGTTGGCGTTGCAATGTTGAACGTCGGAGGTGGTCGTGGGGCAGCTGGCCCGTCGCTGCGCGTGTGACTCTGGGCCGTGGTGATCGGTGAGCGAGGCTGCTGAACACGAGCCGTGGATTAATCCAGGCAGCTGCCAGGGGCCGTCGACAAATGGCTGCACTGGCGTGGCGCTGGATACTAGCCGCGGCTGAGGAGGACCCTCAGTGACCATGAAGACAACTCCAGAAGGGCCATGGTCCAGGGAGCCTTCTATAAGTCAGGAGTCAGCGCGGCATCCGAACTGGCCGCCGCTGCCGCTGCCCTATGGTGATGATGCGGCGCCTAGCGGGCACGAAGTGCGGAAGTGGTAATCGCCCCCACATTTGCTGCACGTCATGATGGCCCCGTCGTAGCCTTGAGGATTGCGGCGCCAGCCTTGCCCTTTGCCTGGCGGGCGCTGACCTTTGCCTCTTCTGCTGCGCACCTTGCGCGTAGGACGTTGCGAGCGCCTGCGCCACTGACGTTTAGAAGTTGCCATCTTCCAGAACAGCCAGCATCGATATGGGCAGGGCTGAGACCTTGGAACGCTGGCGATTGGTAGTTGACCTCTCCGCCTGTGTCCGAGCTGGTGTCCGAAGAGGCTCCGCCGACGCAGTCGGTCCCATCCGCGGGCGCACGCGCGGCGGCAGGATAGGCTGCCTTCGGCGGCGCGGCGCTCTGCGGCGGGATAACACCTCCGGCGCCGGAAAGCTCGGCGGCGCATGCAGCCCAGGGGTCGAGGCCCCGAGTGTGCCAGAGGTCCGTAGCAAGTGTGTCATTGCTGTGGTCATTGGTCGCGCCCACGAACCCTCCGGACGATATCGGCGTACGAAGAGCGCTGGTAATGTTATTTGGTGCATGCTCCACGATATGGCTCACGCGCCTGAGCGTAGCCGTGAGACTGTTGAACTCGACCTCCGTGGCTGGGCATCGGTCGCCGTAGGGCTGGAACAGCGCCATAAGTTGGTTAGCTGTGGCGCCGACCGCTCGGAGCAACAGCCAGCTGTAGCCCTTCCCAAGACGGCGCAGCCAGCGCAGCGCGGAATCGCAGTGTGAGAAGCCGCGGGGACAGCGCGTCGGTGGTCTCGTCGGGGTCTCGTTGCGTCACCTCGAGAATTTGAGAAAAGCTCGCGGGTAGCATGGAAACGCGACTCCTCGCCAAGTCGGCCAAACTGTGTGGCGAGGTTCGAGATGAGGTCGGTCAGGGCGTCCTCTTGCTGGCCGTTGACAGAGCCTCCCTCCGCCATCTCCGCGAAGTTCATGGAGCGCGTGAGCTCGCGGGCGGCCCCGCCGAGGTCTAGGATGACGGCAACGCAGTCGTTGGGCGTTGTCCACGTCGGTGGCTCGCACGCTCCGCGCGAGTGGGACCTGCACCCAGTGGCGGAAGGGATACACGAACTCACGCTCGGGTGGCCATGATGACGCTGGCGAGGAGTAATCCCGCCACGGCCGCCGCCGCCCTGTGGGCAGGCCCCACCAGGCATCGCGCAGGTGCGCCAGAATAAGACGGCCACGAGAAATACGAGGATGCGGCCACAAAGCGTCAACATGGATATCCTCTTCGGTAATATATGACCACGATGAAACCTGCGGAAACGCCTTGGGACTCGTGCCTGCAACGAACGCCGTGTCGAAAAACCGGACAACCGTGCTGATGTCGCCAGCCCTGGTCGAAGCCAAGATCGATGAAACTGGTGCGTTTGCCTTCCGAATTCCACTCGGGTTGGACGACCTGCTCACAAGGACGGCTAGCACGATCGCGCACATCACGAAGCTCGGCGTTCGCACAGGGAGGAACCTCGTAGTCATGCCCGACGCGGAACTGCGGCCACTGCCTGTGGGGGTGCGACGGTTCGGGGGACGTCGTGGCATTCCGGCGGGCGAGTAGCTCCCAATCGCGGTTGCGCCATCTGCTGATGCCCTCGCAGCCAGAGTCATGGGCGCCCGGGGCGAATTGCCAGTCGATTTGCAGAACTGCCAGGCGCACAGGCTCTTCAACGAATGGGGGGTGGTACCAATGCAGAGGTGAAGGCTAATGCGAATGTGCGTCCGCACCGCCCTACGGACACATTCTGTGGATCGCGAACTGGGCTCGCTCACATCTCCACTGCCAAGTAGAATTGCGGGTGGTGGAGGCCTTACGAGAGAAAGCTGGGCGGCAATAAGACGTGGTCTGCGGGGCTTTTGCTCTTCATGCAATATACAAGTATGCGCTGGCGCTGAAGCCAAACGGCGGCATAACATCATAGTTGAGTGAGGAGGAGGAGGAGGAGGAGGAGGAGGAGGAGGAGGAGGAGGAGGAGGAGGAGGAGGAGGAAGAAGAAGAGGAGGAGGAGGAGGAGGAGGAGGAGGACGAGGCCGAGCGGACCTAAAGGGAGAAAGAGGAGGAGGAGGAGGAGGAGGAGGAGGAGAAGGAGGAGGAGAGCGAGGACCGAGGGTTACATGAGGTGTTCCTATGTCTGTGGGTTCCGACTGGGTGGCGCTAGGGCCCTTCTCTGAAGAGGCCGTGGCTCGATTGCCACTTCCGCCACCAGTCGAGCCCAAAAGCCGAGTATTCAAACCCTTCGACGGGGGCGAGAAACACACATTGCAAGGATGAGCCGCGATCGAATCTGGGAGAGACGTGCCTCATACGTCGTGCTGATGATCAACGTCATCGTGCCCGTCACTCAGGCTTATACAGTACATTATAAGATGACGGCGGGCACGTCTGACAATTATTGCCCAGGCAACCCTGTCAAACGAATGGACGATACGTGCCTGATGGATTTTACAAGCGTTTGAAGCCGACCCCGCAAACCGAGCATCCTGGAGGTGCTCCCCAGGGGGAGTCCGGCGGCGGCCCGCACCGCTGCAGAGAGTTCCCGGAGGCGTGCTGGGGTAGGCGGGGTCCTTGGGCCAACGCGAGCATTCCTGTGGATATGAAAAAGCTGCGACCGCTCTCCCGATGCCCGGGGGCGACTGGCCTAACAGGGCGATGTTGGTAGCCGAGCACTCTGGCAGGGCAGCCCCCCCGTGGTCAAAGACCAGCATGCGTTGGAGCGTGCACACGTCTGGTAATGCTGTGTATCATCACGTGCGCTGCGCCCGAAGACGCAGGTGCGCGATGATTGCTGGAGCTGGTGTTCGGTGGTCCAGTTTCCGCGCCACGGGCGGAGACATTCGAAAGCCCATGGCGACGGGGACCTCGAGGAGCTGAGCTCCCAGGACCTCCCCGGGGAAAACAAAAATCGGGCTGCAGCTCTCCAGGCGAGGCGCGCTCCATTTCCGGGAGCGGGTGGAGAGGAGCGAAGCGCAGTCTCGCCATCGCTCGGACGTCCATTCCCCGTGCATGTTTCGATTTCGTGAGAGCATTCTTCGCTAAATGATCAAGGATGCTCCTCGATGGTCCTCGCCGAGAAAAGAATGCACACGTCCGAGCGATGCCAAGTAGTCGTGGGGGAAGAGCGAGGAGGCAAGCGAGCGGTAGAGGTGGGATTGAAGACAGACCCCGGGGAAGTCCCTCATCGCCTGCCGCGCGCTCTGCGCAGCCAGAGCGACGCTGGTGGCTATGCGCAGCTTGGCAGGGAATCCCGCTGCGACGCAGTTTTGTCCCTGGCCGTCAGCTGGCGGCGAACATCCTAGACCTAGAAACCGAGGCGCGGACTACAGGCCTCCGCGGCAAAGCTGAAACCCGCATGCCGCTCTTGCTCGTGTTTGGTGATGCACACGCTTTCCCTAGCATGTGCCAAATTTCGTTGCATCATGTGTTGCTGTGCGGGGCCCTGCCTCGAGGCTTCCGTAATCTAGTCAAACACGTGTACATGATTGTGCGATCCTTCGCGGCGACCGGAGGTGCTTGTATTTTTGTTCGCGTGGTCGCTCGCTGGGGTCCTGCAGGGATGCCCGCTCTCGTGGGCTTTGTTCCCCTTCGGAAGCGACCCGCTCCCCCGAGCATTCATCAGCAGAGAGGACCGACCTGGCAGGGGAATCACGCGCAGCTGCGCAGATAGTATGGCAGCTATAATCCATTCCGTATCCTCCCTGCCCTCTTCACCTCCATCTTCAGATGTGCTGCCGAATACGCAAGTCTCCATTCAAAAGCCCAAGAAATGCCTCGCCATCCCACTCTGGTCGACTTGAAATGCCGAAGTCGTCTCGAGAGTGCGAGAGCGCTTGCGCAGGGCGGCTCAATATTGGGGGGACTTCGGAGTGCGAGGCTCGGGGACCTGTCCTGGTGCTATGGTGGGGCTAAAGTCCACGATAGCTGGCAATCTCCGAGCGCCACTTGCCAAGTGGCGGGCTTGAGCAGCAGAGTACGCGGCGATAGGGGGCGGCGCCAACTTTTCGGCTTTCCTGTATTGCAGTCGTGCGATCCACTCCCTCTCTTACTTGTCGCAAATTTCCCCCCCCCCTCGTTGGACGGGACCCGCTCAGAGCTCACTATCCTCACCAGGCTTCTTCGCCTCGCGGGCTCGCGGCAGACGGACTGGACTGCCCTCTAGCTGTTGGGCGGGCCTCGCATCCAAAACCTCTGTGCCCTCTCACTCTCCACCCTCCTCCGCTCCGCAATGCAAACCTTGGCTGGGTGGCGAGCGCTCCTAGCTCGGCTTGTCTTTCACGCTGAACGTGAGCTCGCGGTGACGCGCGTGTTCCGGGAGGGCTGATGGATCTCCCCTGAGGTTTTGGCGCTCGCCCCGAATTGTGCGTACTTGTGAGGAAGAGGAGGATGAGGAGGAGGAGGAGGAGGAGGAGGAGCAGGAGGAGGAGGAGGAGACGGAGGAGGAGGAGGAGGAGGAGGAGGAGGAGGAGGAGGAGGAGGAGACGGAGGAAGAGGAGGAGGACACGGAGGAGGAGGAGGAGAAGGAGGAGGAGAGGGAGGAAGGGGAGGAGGAGAAGGAGGAGGAGGAGAACGAAAAGAAGAGGCCTTCGGGGATCTGGGGCTCCGGGCTTCGACACTCGGAGGCGGCGGCCACGGCCGTCCTTCAGCCCGCCCCACGCGGCCTCGACCACGGGCAGGGCGCCCTCGCCGTGCGGCCCCGCCTCGCAGCGATCCTCGCGGGCGGGCGGCCGCCCCGCCGGCGCCTCGCCGCCAGGCGGCTGCTGTGCGCGCTGCCTGCAGGCTGCGGGGGCTGCTGTTGGAGTGCCCTCCCCTCCCCTCCCCTCTCCTCCCCTCCCCTCCCTCCCCACTCCCCCCCTGGGCCTGTCCTCCTCCCTCCTCTCCCTCCCCTCCCAACTCCTCCAACTCCTCCTCCTCCTCCTCCTCCTCCTCCTCATCATCATCATCACCATCACCATCACCACCAGCATCATCATCATCATCATCATCATCATCATCATCATCATCATCTCCTCCCTCTTCCTCCGTCTCCTCCTCCTCCTCCTCCTCCTTCTCCTCCTCCTCCTCCTCCTCCTCCTCCTCCTCCGTCTCCTCCACCTCCTCCTTCTGCAACTACTCCTCTTTCTCCTCCTTCCCTCCTCCTCCTCTCCCCTCCTCCTCCTCCTCCTCCTCCTCCTCCTCCTCCCTCCCCCCTCCTCCTCCTCACCCCTCCCCTCTCCTCCCCTCCCCTTCCCTCCCCTCCACTCCTGCCCCGCTACATTCTGAAGCACCTGGGGCCCTCTGGGCCTCACGAGGGGTTGAGGGGCAACGATCAGGGCGGGACTGGCCAAGGGGAAAACTTCGGCCTGGAATCGGCGATACGATGCGTATGAATCGACCATTTGCCCCCGTTAGCGAGTCGGCATGCCCCTGGGGGGACAGGCTGGCGGGCCGCCATGGACGATGAGTGGGAGATGTCGGGGCGATGCCTCCTCTCCTGAGCTCATCCCGCCCCCGACAAATACGAGGATAGATAAGCGTGCATAACACTGCTGATGTTGGCGTCATGCCTGCTCTCTCCCGCTCCCTGTGCAGAGCGAGACGACATTTTTACATCCAGCTGCGAACGTTCAGGCCCGTACTCGCGATTTGAGCACCTGCGGCTATGGCTATGGCCATGGTGCGCCCCCCCAGCCTTGGCGGCGCGCGCAAGGGGGGAAGGGGGAGGCGGGAAGGCTCCTCAGAAGGCGGCTGTTCCTTAGAAGGCGCGGGCCCTGCAACTTCAGGCAAGGCCCAGGCCTTCTAAGGAGCAGGGGTGCTTCTAAGAAGCCTCCCCCCCTCCCCCCCATTGCGCGTGGCCGACAACCGTTGCCCCTGACCGTGAGGTGGCAGGGGGTCCTTTGTCGCCCAAGATGGCTTCAAGAGGGCGTCCGATGCTCCAAGATGACCTCCAAGACGGCTCAAAAGAACCGAAGATGGCTCAGCATCGCTTCCAACATGCCTCCAAGAGGCCCCACGAGGGCCTCAAGACGGTTCCGAGTGCTCCCTCCCTCTCAGGACCCCCCCCAAGAGGCCCAGACCCTTCCAGCACAGAAAGACGAGCAACGATTGTTGCCGTCTCGTCTGCTCGCTTCCGATGCTCGGGAGGCGAGGGGGGGCCTCGGCATGGGGGGGAACCTCGAGCCCTGGGCACCTCTGGCAGGCACCCGAGCGCACGAGGCAGGTGCGGCTCCTGGGAGGCTCCGTGGCGCGCCGGCCCACCCGTGGGTGCCTGCCTGTCGGCGCCGCGCGTCCGGAGGACGTGTCGGCGCCGCGGGCGTCGTCTTCGCCGCCGCCGCCGTCATCGTCGTCGTCGTCGTCGACGTCGCTGTCGTCGTCGTCGTCGTCGTCGTCGTCGTCGTCGTCGTCGGCGCCGTCGTCGTCGTCGTCGTCGTCGTCGTCGTCGTCGTCGTCGTCGTCAACGCCGCCGTCATCGTCATCGTCGTCGTCGTCGTCGTCTCCGTGGCGTGTGTCTGTCGGCGCACGTCCGAGCGTTCCCCCCCCCTCCTCCCCCGGCGCGGCCGCCCTCGTCCTCTTTCCTTCCTCTGGCGCGTTGGACACTTCGCTTGTCTGAGGTGCAACGATAGGGGGGGATAGGCACAGGGGGGGGAAGCATCGACCTGGAATCGGCGATACATCGCCGATAGATCGGCGATAGGCCTCCGATAGTGAATCCGCCCCTTCCTGGGCAGGTTGGGGCTATCGGGCCCCTATCGGCGATCAGTGGGCGATTGGGGGTCGATGCATCCCCCCTATGCCTATCCCCCCCTATCGTTGCCCCCGATTGTCGGCTGCCCCGAGTAGCCTCGCGCTGGTGCGGACTGCCTCTGCCTTGCCGCCGAGGGAAAAAAGTGTCCGTCGGCGCGGCTCGTCTGGAGGATGCGTCGGCGCCACGGCCGTCTCCCTTGTCCGAGGCCACGCCGAACGGCGGTGTTGGATGGCGGCGATGTTAGGAATCGGTTCTGCGGCGCCGAACCCGCGCAGAACGAACTGCAGGAAATCACGAACCACACGTTCGTGCACTTCGAACACGCGAGTGCACCGAGCAGAGACGACACGGAGAATTGCGGGAAACCACGAACCTCGCATTCCTACAGTCGGGTCGGCCACGGACCGCCCCCACCTACAATGCAGAAGCCTACAGCGCCGTTGCCTACATGGCCATTAGCGTGTCTACGGTTCATGCCCTCGCAGTGCCCGCCCCCCTGGACGCAGCTCGAAGAACTCGTCAGGAGGAGCCCAGAGAGGGGTCCGGGGACCGACTTCTTGGACATTTCCCGAAACCTGGCGACCAGGAGATCTGTGAAGCATCGCTACTCGAAAACCCGACGTCACTTTCTCACAGCGTGGCTCCCCAGATGACTTGGGCCCCCTCCCCTAGGACCCACGTTTCACCCTCAGCAATTTTCGGCTACACGCAAGAGTGGCCCTGGGTCAAGAGTGCCCTTTGGTGCGCGGTTTTTTTTTTGGGGGGGGGGCCAAGCACAAGCGCGCAAGACGCGACTGCCGCATCGCGTTGGGCGATCGGGGGACCCCACTGGGCCCGCACCACAGGTCACTCCGGCGAGAGGTCTTCGCAGACATGCGACCGACGTCCTAATATTTTTCAATACGGGGTCCCTGGAAGTACCGACCCGTTCCCCGGGACCGATTTTCGTCCTGACTCGTTTATTGACGGTCCCGAGGCCTGGCGAGGGCCTCCCGAGGCCGAAGCTGGCCAAACACCTCCCGCCCTGACATCTTCACGACGCGATCATGTCTGGGCTTCTCACGTGTAGCCGAATCTTCCTTGGCGGCCCAGGGCCCGGCCAGGCCCGTGCCCCCAGCGGCCAAAGCCAGTGCAGCGCCGCCCGCTCTGCTCCTCTTCGCGACGCCAGGACGTCTGGGCGGGTGCCCTCGGGGCCTCGCGAGGGGTGCTCTGGAGGCCGCGGGGGGGGCTCCTCCTCCTCCTCCCTCCTCCTCCCTCCTCCTCCTCCTCCTCCTCCTCCTCCTCCTTCTTCTCCTCCTCCTCCTCCTCCTCTTCCCTCCTCCTTCTCCTCCAACTCCTCCCTCCTCCGCCTCCCCCTCCGCCTCCTCCTCCTCCCCCCTCCTCCCTCCTCCTCCTCCTCCTCCTCCTTCTCCTCCTCCTCGGGGCACTCCTGGCAGTGCCCGAGCAGGAGCCGCGGTGTCTGCTGGCCCGGCGGCGGGAAGGCTTTTGCTTAGACATCCCATAATGTTAGATCGGGCGCGTCCTCCTACAGGCGGATTTCGATCGACAAATTTAAGATACCCAAACATATTCGAACATGGCCAAACAAATCAACAAATCGTCCCAAGACTATACTCTGACTACGTTTGGATATTCCTCCATCGCGGCACCAGACCGCCGACGTACTCAAAAACTCAACACTCTTCTTCGTGGCGTTCAAAACCCATTGAAGGCCCTCGCCAGGCAGGAACTATCCAAAAAACAGCTTAGGATGCAAGACCGGCCCTGGGGAACGGAGCCCAGACTCCTGTGGTGCGGGTCTGGACTTCTGGGGGCCCCGCGTGGAAAACAACAAAATACATCAGATCTCGTGGACGGCGGGGTTTCGACACAGCGCTGTGGAGAAGGCACCGCGACGGGGGGCTTTGGACAGGCCATGCCGCGAGCGGCGAAGAACGCACTGGCGCCCGTGCCCTCGCAGCCCGGATGCCGTGCCCTCGCGAGCCCAACCTCGTGAGGGGAAACGTTGGGGGGGAGCGGGCTCAGAGGGGAAGCATCGACCTGGCATTGGCGACACATCGCAGAGAGATCGGCGACGGGCCCACGATGGCGAATCCGCACACTCCTGGGCGCGGTCGGCCATCGGGCCACTATCGGCGATGAAGGGGCCATTGCGGGTCCGTGCCTCCCCCCCTTGACAGCGCCTATTCCCCCTCTAGTGTTGCTTCTGATATTGGGGCTGCTTGGCCGCGACATCTCACGGCCGCGCTACGCAAAGGAGTGGGACATCCCGTCGACGCCGACCTGCATCCGCGCGTGGTCGTGGACAAAAAGCTCGGCGGACGGCTTCCGCAAATCTCCCCCCCCCGCCGGGGATAGAACGAAGCCAAGGCGGGGACAAGACCAAATCGGGACAAATCGGGGATCTCTGCAAGCCGGAGGCTCTGGAGGATGTATCGGGCGCCGCGGCCGTTCCAGAGCACTCCGGAACGCTTTGGGAGCGCTTTGGAACGCTCTACGAGCGATGCAACTCGGTCCTGGGCCCGCCCAGAGAGGGTCCTCGCCGGGCCTCGGGGCCGTCAGAAAGAAGACGGCTCGGGACGAAAGGCTGGATCCGTGCCTCCATGGGGCCCTCATTGCCAGCAGAACCACGAGGTCGGAGCTCTGGGACCGCGAGGCCGTGGGTACTTAGATGTGTGTTTCCGCTCGCGAAAGGCGGCGATGTCTACACCTCGCCTGGGACCGTGTACAGAACTCTCACGGACCGGCACGATCAAGGCCCACTTGGCCACTGTCCCATCCTCTTTCGGCTCTCCCGATTGCCCATCTCTTCGTCCTCCTAGACCCTCGATCCCTGACGTCTGCCGATCTGACTTTTCCCATGCGTGGCCCCAGGGGCCTCGACCCCTCCCCCTGGGGAATTCGCGTGTCCTATACACATGTTTGGTGCCCCCCCGTGCCAAATAACGGCCCCTACTTGCCAAAATCGGCAAAAAAAAGCCGGGCAGAAGATCTGGGATTCTCCTCCTCGACCCTTTGATCCTCCACCCCAGACCCCCAGCGTCATGATTTTTTCACTGCGTAGATCCCGAGGGGCTCCGACCCATTCCCCCAGACCTTCTTCTCATCCCGAGGCGTTTCTTGACGGTCCCGGGGCTCTGCATGTAAGGCCCCCCCGAAGCCGAACATTGTGACACAACTTCTCGTCATCGTTTTTCCATGGCCCGAAGAGGGTCTGCGTCATGTCCTCCTCCTCGATGCGGGCCCGAAATCTTGCCCATCCCCCGGAAGGACCCGCGTAGCCGGCGCGCCAGGCCCTCGTGCTCGCGCCTCAGTTCGGTCAGCAGGGCGTCGAACCGCACGAGGTCCCCCTTCCCGGGCGGGGGCCGACGACGGACGGCCACAGTGGGGACCATTCAACGACCACGACGAAAGACCACGCCGAACGACCACACTACAAAAGAACTATGTCCAAAGGAAAACCAATCCAATCGAAAAATCCCCAAATACCCCCCCGACAATCCTGACAACCCATGCTGACGAATGACGACAAGACGGCCTACAGGCAGCCCCTTGGACAACCCTGGGGGGATCCGGACAAGCCCACTGGACAGCCCCCCTTGGACAAGCCTCCCAGGGATCTTTCTTCCATGAAGTATAATGACTTGAGCCCACCCCGCGGCAGCGGCTGGTGGGGAGGGGGATGGCAGCGTCCCTGAGGACTCCGACGCCTTCAAGGCAGGCTCAGCAAGAGGACCCAGAGATCCTGGCGTTGTCCGCCGCCGCGCCTGCAGCGCGTTGGTGTGCGTCTGGCCCTTGTGGTTCAGTTCCTGTCGTCGCGAGGCAACACCCTAGGCACCCCCGACGCACTTTTGGATGCAAGTCCCTTCGCCTTTGGGGTGCCCGCCGAAAACGGGCCCAAATTCAAATGAAACGGACAAGCGGTTCCGTTGCACCCATCCCCCTCCCTGGCGCCTACCCGTCGCCGCTTCGCCTTGCCCTGTGCTCCCATGTGACAGATTTTTGTTTTTTCCTGGGTGACGGCCGTTACCCGGGGGGGGGTGTCAGGCGGAAGGATAGCAAGGGTGCGTCCGCGCCGCCAACGCATCAATCGCTTGTGTGCACCGCGCTCCCCGTGTACAGGACAATGCCCAATGTCTGCGTGCAATACAGCGCTTCTGGTGTAAAAACCACACTGCCTGCGTACACCACAACAGCCTGGTGCACTGCAGCACCCCGTCGCCTTTGCACACCGCAGTGCCTGTGTATACTGCAGCAGCTGTATGTGCAACAAGGTCTGTGTACACCGAATTGCCTGCGTGCGCCAGAGCGCCAGCACCGTGAAACTGGATCACCTCATCATTCCACATACAAGAGTTCTTTAATATACTGTAAGATTGCGCCCCTGGGTTCTGCAGACAATCGTTGTTTACAATAGGATTCTGAAAAGGACGCCCTATGGAAAATGGAGCGCCTCTGGATTCCACGGAACACAAATTCTTTGTATAGAGTTTCAAAATCAATCGCTATGAAGAACGGAGCGCCTCTGCATACCACAGAAAACCTTCGTTTGATAAGGGAACCCCGATGGAAGTGGGGCGCCTCTGAATTCCACAGAAAACAAATTATTATACATATCCGCCGACCCCTTGGGGTTCATCGGCGTGTGAGATGTTCCCCCTCCCCAAACCCCTCCCCGGGAGCCCGGTCCGGTCGATTTGGAGGGGGGGGGCGGTCGGGCCGGATCCCCCGGATGGGAACGGAGGTGGGAGGGGGGTCGGGCCGGATCCCCCGGATGGGAACGGAGGGGTCATCCGCTCCCGAAAATCGTGCAAAACCTCGCGAAAATCGTGCAAGGACTCCTCTGGTGGCCTCAACATGGCTCTGGGACGCCCAACGAGCGCTCCAAGCCGCCCAAGGTGGCCCAAAGAAGGGCCACGAGGCGTCCTCGACGGCAGAAGAGGCCCCCACGAGCCCACCCGAGGGCCTCCGAGATGCGTTCCACGAGGGTCTCTAGATGCAAAAATTGGCCCATTCCCTTCGTGAAACGTACATTTTTCACAAATTCGGCTTTGGGCCTTTCCGATGCTCCCCGACGGCCTAAGAGTCCCCCAAACCCGCTCGCAGAGGGTGCCTCGCATACCCCTAGAGGGCCCCAAGACGGGCCAACCGGCCCAAGAGGGCTCCGAAAACGGCCCCAAGAGCGCTCCAGGAGCGTTCCGAGTAGCCTCCACAAAACTCCACACGGTCCCAGACGGTCCAAGAGCGATCACAAACATCGACGACGGCCTGCCGACGGCTCAACAGGCCCCCAAGACGGCCCAAGAGGCATCCAAGATTCGCCCCGAGAGGCCCTCTAGACGCAAAAAATCGCCCGTTCCCTTCGTAAAACGTAATTTTTACACGTGCGCCTTTTGGGGTGTCCCCCGCTCCTGGACGGCCCCAGAGCCCTCCAAACCCGCTCCCAGACGGCCCAAGACGCCTCCAAGAGGGTTCCCCATATAGCCCTAGAGGGCCCCAGGACGGGCCAACAGACGTCCAAGACGGCCCAAAAGGGCTCAGAAAACGGCCCCGACAGCGCTCCAGGAGCGCCCCGAGTGGCCTCGAAGAGAGCTCCACATGGTCGCCGACGGTCCAAGAGCGATCACAAACGCTGACGACGACCTCCAGACGGCTACAGAGGCCCCCAAGACGCCCCAAGAGGCATCCACGATGCGCCACAAGAGGGCCTCTAGACGCGCAAAAACGCCCGTTCCCTTCGTAAAACGTATTTGTTTCTCGCACGTGCGCCTTTTGGTGTGTTCCCCGCTCCTGGGCGGCCCCAGGGCCCCCCAAGACCGCACCAAGACGGTCCAAGAAGCCTCCACGAGGGCCCCGCGACAGCCCAAGAGGGCGCCAAGACGGGTCAAGAGGGGCCGAGGACGGCCCAAGAGAGCCCCGAAGACGGCGCGCGCGCGCGCGACTCGCGGTCAGATTCCTCGCAACTTGCGTTGCTCCCCGCCGTGCTCGTCACTTGCTTCCGCAGGGCGTTTCGGCGGGTCTCTTCGAGGCGCCCGTCCCGCCTTATAGCACTTGGCGCAAACCACCAGATTGCCTCGGTGGAAATAATTCTTATTCTGGTCTTTCGAAACTTCGCCATCTGCCTTTGCCCGTGGCACGCTCGGCACACCACCGAGCCATGAGCCGAACCCTTCTTGAAGAAGGCGTTCACTTGCTTATCTGTCAGATGCGTCCTGTCCGTGAATTCTCGCTCTTTCCCATCTGCTTCTTTCGGGCACGCGGAGCACGTGAGCACTCGCGACTGATTGCGTTCTTCCTGGCACGCGCGGCACATGACTGGGCGATGGTCCGAACCCTTCGCGAGAAAGTGCTCCACTTGCATATCTGTCAGATGCGTCCTGTCCGTGAACTTCAAGCCTCTTCCATCTGCTTCTGTCGGGCACGCGGAACACATGAACACCCGCGAGCGTTCGTGATGCGCGTCGCAGTCGCGACATGTCACTGGCCTATGGCCTGCGCCCGTCTGATAATAATGCTTGGTTTGGTCTGCTGTCAGATGCCTCGCGTCCGTGATTTCCCGCCCTCGGGCCCTGGCCGAAGGCCCCACCGGATCCACCTGACCCCGAAATCCCCCAGATCGCCTCCAGGTCGCGCCAAGAGGGTCCACCAGGCGACGGGACGACCCGCGAGAGCTCCAGGACGGTTCCCGAGAGGTTCATGGCGCGCCAAAACAGCCTCTGAGGACGCCGAGACGGTTCCGCTTAAGGTCAGGAAGGGCCAAGATAGCTTCACAATGGCCTGAAACGATTGAAGGTCACCCCACGGCCGCCCCTGACGGTTCCAAAAGACACCGCAAAGCAGTTCTGAGGCCACCAAGGGCATACCACAGTCCTCGGCAACAGATGGCGACGGCCAAGACGGCCGAAAAGAACGCCCAGAGCGCCCCATGACAGCCCAAGAGAGGCCGATGACAGCCCAATACTGCCACAGGACGGCCTAAGGGGCCCCAAGACAACCCAAGAATGCCCCCAGAATGGCCCAGGGGCCTCAGACCACCCAAAGAGGCGACCAGACCACTGCGCGATTCTTCATAAGGGGTCGGCGGATGTGGCGTAAGCCTGAAAAATCTATTTATACATACACATACATACATATATATACATATGTGTAACAAGAGCTTCTACGGCAAATGAAGCACCTGAGGATTCTACACGCGTGCACCAGAACGCCTGCGTACACCACAACGCCTGTGTACACCGCAGCAGCCGCGTGCAACACAGCGTCGGTGTACACCAAAGTGCCTGCGTGAACCACAGCGATTGAGTACACCACGGCCCCTGTGTACACCGCAGCAGCCGTGTGCAACACAGCGCCGGTGTGCACCACGCTGCCTGCGTGAACCACAGCGCCCGCGCACACCACAGCGCCTGCGGGAGAAGGCGCGGGGCAGGCCAGTCTCTACCTTCTCCATGCCGCTTGGTCCACAATCGTTACGCGCAGTAAGGACAGGTGGTAAAGACGCAAAACCGTTGGAAACCGAAGTTGGGATTTGTTGGCAAAAGTCGTCCAATGAAAACGGCAAGGGACAGGCCAAATAGCCCGCTCCCAGCATGTGGGGGGAGGGCCAGGCCCCCCCCTGCACGATCGTTAGCGTTACTCGGGGGGGGAGGGGCCGGGTAACGAGCGTTACGCCGGGGAGGGGAACAAAAAAACGCTCCATGGCGGCTCGCAGGAACCGTCGAAAGGACACAGGAAGTCCCGCAGTACTTCCAAGACGGCCCAGGAGGCCCCCGCGACGCCCGCAAGAGGGCCTGTAAAGCCCCCACAGAAAATACGCACACACAACAAATTAAAAAAAACACTAGCCTCACAGAGGCCCCCAAGAAATCCCAAGAGGCCCCCAGGAATACCCCAAGAATTCGAACAGAACGCTCCGCGACGCCCCCCAGAAAACCCCGGGAAACTCCAAGAGATCCCCACGAGGCCCCAAGAGGCCCTGCGACGCCCTCGACAAACTCCGAAGAAGCCCCAGGAGACCCCCGATGCCCCCCCGGGCCCCGAACATGCCCTGAAGAGGCCCCATGAGGGCATCGACACACGAGTACAGCAACGTCGACAAACGCTGCTTTCCACGTCGGTGGAAGCTTCTTGTCAACCTTCGCCGACGCAGGCGGCATCTCACTTCGGGCATATTCCTTGCACATATTTCACAGCGCATGGAAAGACTTCATGACGTCGCACTGACCCACGGCCGCGCGCCCGAAGCGGCCGCAAGAGAACCCGAAGACGGCCCATGACAGCTCCAACGCGAAGGCACGGCGCCTACGAGTGGCCGCCTCGAGGTACCAGGGACGGTCTCCCGAGGCGCCTGGCGGGACTGTCGCGTCCGAGGAAGGCCCGACAGTAGAAGCCTCCTAGATGAGGCCCACGTCGAGCTGGATCGTCGATGCATCGGCGATGCGGCGCGATTCTCCGACCCCATCTACTCCAACACCATCTAGGAAGCCTAGAAACATCCCCCGAGAAACACCGACAGAAGACCGCGCCTGTCTCTGCCAGGCAGCGACCCGGGCACTGCAGGCACGATGCTAGGCTTAAGCTTAAGTCGGGCCCGTTCCTCTACAGGAGGGATCTCCGAAAATAGCTCAAACAATAGCCTGGGCAATAATTTTTGACTATGTCTTAGGATGTTTGGCGCATGTTTGGAATACGATTAATTTGTCGCCCCAGATCCCCCTGTAGGGGGACAGGCCCGAGCTAATGCTGCGCGGCCCCAGCCCCGACCAGCGCCTTCGGCGACGGGCGACGGGCCAGCGCCTGGACCCTCCTGGGGACGGGGTCGCCAGGCGGAGGCGGGGAGCAGAAGCGCACCGTTCGAAAGCTCTGCACGGGGTAAGAAAACGGCAGCTGTTACCTAACTGTAGAGGGTCTTCGGAAAACGCTCAATGGGGGGTGGCTGATATTGGTTCGGCGCCCTTATTGAAGGACTGGGGCTCCGACAACGACGACGAAAACGACGACAACGACGCCGACGACGACGACGACGGAGGAGGAGGGGGGGAGGGGGGAGGAGGAGGAGGAGGAGGAGGAGGAGGAGGAGGAGGAGGAGGTTTCAGGAGGAGGAGGTTTTAATACCGGTCCGATTCGCCGCCGAATAAAGGAAGGGGGAACCAAAACAAATGACCCTTCGCAATGAAGCGACTGCGCGCGACAACTCGGGCAACCTACCACCGCGCGGCACAGGCCCAATCGTTACGACCATGCAAACACGCGGCAATGATGACACCATGTATGAGCCCGCTCTGTGGTGCAGTCTGTGCAAGGCAATGCTAGTGAAATCTCTGCGGTGCGATCTGTGTTTCGGACAATGCCTTGCCTGCCTTGCCGCACTGCAGCCTCGCTAGGCCGCTTTCGCAAGCGCGGTGTCGGATATGCGCGGCAGCGCAACTCGTAATTGTTCAAAACAAATACTTCTGCCAGATTTCGGCCCCTAGGGCCATCAGGATCCAACTGGCCAGCGACATGAAACAACAATATGGGGCCCAGGGCTCTGGCCGAGTGTTGTTTACAATGTTGTCATTTTTCGTGCCGTCGGATCACCTGGGCGGATGACCGCAGCAGAGGCTCATATCTGCAACGCGCAGAAAAATCAAGTCCACAGACGAGGCCAAGACTGGGACAAGATCGGACAAGGATACGTAAATCGGGGGTCCCTGAAAGCTGGCGGTCCTGGACGATGTATCGGGCGCCGCTGCCTTTCTAGGGTCAGGACGTTCCGGAACGCTCTGAGAAAGCGCTCTGGAACGCCATGGGAAGATTCATCGGTCTAAGGTTGGGTCGGGCCTGTCCCTCTACAGGAGGAATCTTCGAAAATAGTCAAAAATAGTCTGGGGACGATTTCCGGACTTTTTGTTCAAGACTATGTTTGACTAGTTTTGAATCTTTGTCGACTACTACATATTTTTTCGTCAAAAATCCACCTGTACGAGGACATGCCCGACCCAACTCCAGGGCCCTCCCGAAGTCTACTAAAGGTGCTGCGCAACTCTCGGCCTCTGGGGGGCCCTCGCCAGGCCAAGGGACCGTCAAGAAACTGCTCAGGGCGAGAGGCTGGCCCCTGGGGAGGACGAGGAGGAGGAGGAGGAGGAGGAGGAGGAGGAGGCGGAGGAGAATGGGAGGAGGAGAAGGAGGAGGAGGAGGAGGGGGAGGAGGAGGAGGAGGAGGAGAGGGGGAGGGGAGGGGGAGGGGGGAGGAGGAGGAGGGAGGAGGGGCAGGAGGAGGAGGAGGAGGAGGAGGAGGAGGAGGAGGAGGAGGAGGAGGAGGAGGAGGAGGAGGAGGGAGGAGGAGGGGGAGGAGGAGGAGGGAGGGGAGGGGGAGGGGGAGGGGGAGGAGGAGGAGAGGAGGAGGAGGGAGAGGAGGAGGGGGAGGAGGAGGAGGCGGAGGAGGAGGAGGAGAAGGAGGAGGATGGAGCTCACATTCCACCGTGTCTGGGGTTCCACTGGCACGGCGAGGACCCAGACCTCGAACGCATGGAAACTTTGAACTCCGACGTTCGTTCGCCATTTTCGGTATCTAGGGGCCACCGATGGGCCCCGAGACAGTCAGCAAAGCTGCTCCTGGGGAAAGGGTCGGGACTTCCGGCGCCCGCGTATTGAACAAAAGCCAGAGGTCGGTTCTTTGCAGACCACGACGGCCGACGGCGGCGGCGACGCCCAGCGACGACGACAACAGAGACGACAACAGCCATGACGAGGAGATGCGACGATGAAGACCTCAACCGATGCTACCGACGACGAAGACGCCGACGACGATCGACGACCAACCATCATTGACCACGAAGACCACGACGTTGGCGTCGACGACGACGACGGCGATGACCGACGCTGGTGACGACCGACGACGTCGACGACAAAGCCCCCGGGGGGGCCCAAGAGAGGGGCCGAAAGCGACCCAGACCTGGGTCCTGAAACCCTCGATGCTTGTCGGACAACGGCCGACGGCGACGATCGAGCGTGAAGTTCAAACTTCTACGCCGTCGCCTTCTTTCTGGCACTGGCCGCTGGGGACCCCGACCCCTCCCCCCCGCTCGTCCCGAACAATTTTGTTGACGGTCCTGAGGCTAGGAAACGGCTTAGGCCATAGGGGCAAAACAGGGACGGACTCGAAGTATACATCAAGTCGTCTGGTCGTTCATGGAGATGTGTGTATGGACGCCCCTACTTTCCAACCTTGGGAATGCTGGAGAGGCTATAACCCGAATTCATTCCCCGAATTCGTTAGCTACCACTTGTCGGGCGCACTCATACACAGACCACTCCAGCTCAGATCCGAGCGAGCCCAGCCAGATCATAGGCAGCCTCATGCACCCATACCACCCACGGCATGATGGTTCACACTCACTGTATGGCCACCGCAACGTAGCAGGCGTGGCACGTGGACGCCACAGGGGGGAGCCGCCAGGAAGCTCGACGCTCGCCCGTGCGCGCCCAGAGTGTGAGGATGCCTCGGGCGGCTTGCCTGCTCTGTCGCCCCTCCCCCCCCCAGACTCCTCTCCGCTGAAAGCCCCATGATCACCGCGACATGGCTGGCGTGACACGTGGGCCCCCCAATAGGGGAGGAACCACACCCGCCTGTTCGCGCCCAGAGTGCGGTGATGTCTGCAGCTGTTTGCCTGCCCCCCCCCCAAACAAGACTTTTTTTGAACGCCACACGATCAGCGAGGCATCGCAGGCGTGGTACTTGGGCACGCCAGGGGGGAGCCGCCAGGCCAGGGAGGAGAACACCCGCCCGTTCGCGTCCAGCTTGTCGGGATCCCTCAAGTTGTGCGCCTCCTGTTGCCTCCCAGACGCCTGCCTTTTGAAAGCCTCACGATCACTGCGGCCTAGCAGGCGTGGGCTTCGGGCACCCCCAGGGGGAGCCGCCAGGGAAGGGGGGAATATCGCCCGTTCGTACCCAGATTGTGAAGCCGTCTCAACTGTTTCGCCTGATTCTGTCATCTCCAACCTCCTCCCTTTTGAACGCCCATGCTCGCCGCAACGTAGAAGGCGTGGAAAGCTCGGGCACCACAAGGGGCAGCGGTCAGAAAGGGGGGCACTCTTTGTTCGCGTCTAGATTGTGGGCATGTCGAGGTCGGTTCGCCAACTTCGGCGCCTCGGACGCCTCTGGTGTGAACGAACAAATGATCACCGCGACATGCAGTGGAGGCCGATGCCAAGAAACACCCTGCTTGCCTCCAGGGTGCCCTGGGCTTCCCTGGATTTCTCTACGCTTTTGCGCTGGCAAGCGTGACGTCCCCACACCAAAAATCAGTGGACGTCCTGGGGTCTCAGGGTTGGATCTCCTGTGAAAGGTTCCTTGTGGACTGGCCTCCGCTGTAGCTGGCGTGACACTTGGGGCCTCCTCAATCGGGGAGCCGCCAGGGGTGCACCACGCGCTCGTTCGCGCCTGTGTGTGATGGGAGTGTCTGCAACGGTTCGGCTGCGTCGGTGCCTCGGGCTCCTGCGTGAGAGCTCCACGGTCACCCTGATGTGGCAAGCATCGAATTTGGACGCCCCCCGAGGCTGAGCCGCAATTCCGGGGATGCTCCAAGCGGTGCGCCTGTTTCGGAGTGCCGGGCCCTTCTCTTGAGAGCCCAATGATCTCCGCGATGTAGCAGGCATGGCCCGAGGGGTGTGAGACTTGCCGGTTCACGCCCAGTAGGCAACCTCGACTCCTCTCACTTCAGAGTTCCAAGATCGTCCCGACACAGAAAGCATCACATTTGGGCACTATTGGGGGGAGCGGAGCCGCCAGCGAGCGCTCAGCTGCCACAGGCCAAGGTTCTTCCAGTCAGACGCTCACAGACTGGAGCGCGGGGCACTGAGATGCACACCGGGGAATCTCCGCGTCGACTAAAGATCAACGACGCGAGGAAGTCTGGGAAGGAGCAAGAGCGATCCCCCAACACGACCCCCTGCGACTGTATCGGAGCGACGGCTCGACGACGACTACCGGCAGCTGGCGCCCCCCTGATGCCGCGCATACATGTATAGATACACGCGTACCCATATATGCATATTTATATAAAAAAAGAATACACCTATAGATGTATACTGTCGGAACTGTATATTAGGATGTCCGAGTCGAATAAAAGTCCACGAGGCGCGAATGTCAGAGCAAGAGGTGAAGGCACGATCCCCCGAAACGCCCAGCCGGGGATCTAGGGCCCCAGAAGGCGAGGACGACGACAGGCCGCCGGCGCTCACCGCCTGCTGCTGCGCCACCGAGCTGCGGCCGCCGACCGCGCCGCCGGGCGCCTCCGCCGCCGCAGCCATTGGGCTGCCGCGGCCTTGCGGGCGCCCAGCCGACAGAAGGACGTGCGGCGGCAGGACACACACATGCCATGACGAGGACCCCCAAATCGCCGACACTGGCTCTCCGTCTTCCACGCCTTCCCTGGGGATCTTCCCGGAGGGTTATGTAGCTCTCGTAATACTTAAGTACCAAATCCCCCAGATTTTCCCAAGAACAATATAGAAGCAATGTCGAACAAGTATCGCCTCCTTGCCGCTCGTCAGGAGTTCGAAAGGAACACGCTTCAACATTTCTGGGCGCTCGCCAGCCACTTCTGGGTCTCAGGTCCGTCAACCGAAACAACCGCGATGAACAGCCCTCCTCGTTCCTTCTCCTCCTCCTTCCTCTTCGGGCTGGCTGACTCTCACGGTTTGAGTGGCAGCGGGATTGGATTCGCAGCGCGAGCTGACAGGTGAGATGTGAGTGGCTGGATGAAGCGTGCGCTCGTCCATATGGGGGGAAGAAGAACAAACACACCCACGTTGAACATCTGCAGGGGTGTGGGGGGGGGTCGAGCGGTCTGCAACGGACAAATCACGGCAGCTACGCTCTGCTCGTCCTCCTCCTTCTCCTCCTCCTTCATTCCTTTTCCTTCTGAACCCCGAGGCCAGTTTTTAGGGCGGGCCGGGCGTTTCGCCAGAGAGTTCCTCACCATTTATGACTCTGAAGCTTAAAAGTGTCAAGACTTTCCCAAATTTCGGTAAAATCTTGGCGCTCGTAATTTTTCTTGGCAGTCGAAGCTACAGTAGGTTGGAAGATCATGATCGGGGGGCACAAGCTGTGCAGTCCTTGTTTTTGTGTTTCCAGAGGGAGAAGGTGGGAGCGGTCGACAGAATGATGGAACCTCCATCCACATCAACCCGCCGCACGACAGGAACGCATGCTGCGCCAGTGGGGGCAAACGTCGATTTTCGAAGCGCAACCGACTGCATCAACGTAAACTTGCGGCGCTCCGACCGAATCCTCTTGGATCGGCGCGAGACCCCCTAGCGGCGCCTCCAGCGCCGATCCTAGCGCGCTCAACGCGCCAGGGACGGGGGCCCAGCACAGACCCCAAAACTCCGCGCGGAGCTCCGGAAGTTTCTGCTGAATCCGCGTTTTGCATTGACTTACCCTCGAGAGGATAACAAACTTAGCCACCTGCTGGCCGGAAGATGTGGAAGGTGGCGGGTCAGGGCGCGATCCATCGGACTCTGCCAGCTGTCAATCTGGGCGCCTTCCCTCGGTGTCGGCCTCCGGTGGCCGGCCGGCATCGGGCCCCAGGGCCGTCACGAGGCGGATCCCGAGCGAAACGCTGCCGCCGCGGCAGGGGTCGAGAGCTCCGGAGCCACGGACGGTAAGGAGGATCATGCCGTCGGATCGCTGAGACCGCGGCGGCAGCGGCGACGTCGACAGCGGCGACGACGACGACGACAGGCGGCGGCGGCGACGTCGACAGCGGCGACGACGACGACGACGACAGGCGGCGGCGGCGGCGGCGGCGGCGACTGCGGCGGCAGCGGCGCCGACCGCGACGGCGCCGACGGCGACGCCGAGGACGGCGGCGGCCGCGCCTCCGCCCGAAGCCAGTGGGCTGCCGTGGTTCTCCCTGGTCGAGCCTCGTGGGGCGACGATGGAGCCTCGCAGGGCGGCGAGATCTGTTATCCGCGCCCACCGCCCGTGGCCTGGGCCATCCTGGGCCATCCTGGGCCTGGGCCATCATGGGCCATCCTGGAAACGGCAGGGCCGTTTTTTTCACCGTTTACAAAACAACGTCCCTTGAAATGGAAACGGCAAAAAAACGGCGGCCGGAAACGGCAAAAAAACGGCTCCAGGATTGGAGCCAGAACCGTAACCAGTCAAAAAACGGCGACGGAAACGGTAAAAAAACGGCGTCGGAACCGGCACAACGGAACCGGTAAAAAACGGCCCTGTCGTTTCCAGGGCCCACGAAGGGCCTGGCAAAGAGCGGTGGGCGCGCACGGTCGGGCCTGGGGCAGGAGAACATCCTTCGAGAGCACGAGGCCCTCCGCTGGCCACAGGATCACTCAAGGGTGCCCCCTTCCCCTTCGGCCCATCTGTGGCCGCTTCCGCTGGCCGCGCCCCCCCCCCCCGCGCAGGGTATCGACATGGCCTGCTATAAGGCCCTTGCATCCCCAGGCATGCGACCGCCTGATCTTTTCAGTACGGGGTCCCAGGAAGTCCCGACCCCTTCCCAGGGACTGGTTTTTCATCCTGAGTCGCTTTTTGACGGTCCCGAGGCCCGGCGAGGGCCCCCCGAGGTCGAAGTGGGCCACAAACCTCCCGTCCTGATAATTTTCACGACGCGGCCATGCCTGGGTCCTTTATCGCGCATCCTTATCATACGGGCTGACTTAGAAGAGGAAAAAACGCTATAAACGTAATTTGTTGGCGCTTCGCGCGGATTTCTTGGATCTGGCGCGCGGAGCGCGCCAGGGGCGGCGCCGGAGGCGCCGCCGGGGGGGGGGCCCGGCGCGGATACCAGAAACCCGCGCGGAACGCCACAAGTTTATGTTTATGGCGTTTTGCTCTTCTTCGATGACTGTGCCCTTCCCGAGCCGACCTCGAGATCTCCTGCCTCGGCCCGACCGCACAAGATCTAGGTCGGGCATGTCCCCCTGCAGACGGATTTGGGACGACATATAACAACATATCTTAAACAAGTAGCGAACAATAGTCGAAACATAGTCCCCGAACTAATGTTTTTTTCCTATTCTTGAATACAAGCAACGCTCATAGTAAGGACAAACGACTTTTTCAAGGGTACCCCTGGGTCCTTGCCTGCCTCAGCCTCTGCGGCCCGTCCCTAGCAATTTTCGCAGGCCAGGATACTTCAACTTCGGCCTCCAAGGGTCTTGCGTCCTTGCCACGCGTCCTTACTACACGTTTTCACTATTACCCCTGCCAACGGATTTTGGACGACATATAACAAAATGTCTCAAACAACTAGCGAACAGCAGTCGAAACATCGTCCCCGAACTAATGTGCTTGTTTCCATTCTTGGATACTCCTCGTGTGGAGGGGCACGCCCGACTTCACACGAGATCCCGCCGCCGGGCCTCGGGCGTCCGAGGCGCGCGGGGCGCCCGCGCCCAGCGACCTCAGCGAGGCGCGGATGCCCACGGGGGGCCCAAAGGGGCCGCCGGAGACCCGCAAAGACATCGCGGCCGGCGCGCCCCGCGCGGCGCCCCCGCAGACATCGGGCGTCTCGAAGCAATCGGGGCGGAGGTCCTGCGTCGTTTTCGGCCTCTCAGGGCCCGCACCGGGCCTCGGGGCCGTCAACAAGACGGCTCGGGATGAGAAGCGCGTCCCGGGGAAGTGGTCGGGAGGTCGGGGACCCGTGCCTCGAACAAATCGAGACGTCGGATGTCTGGGCCTGGAGAAAGGCCGCAGCCCTGCGCGCTTCGGCGGCGAGCGAGAGGGGGAAACCAGAAGGAACAATCCTCTTCAGAAGGCGGGGCTTCTCCGAAGCCCTCGCGCCTTCTGAAGGGGTTCCTGTGTCCTCGGGGGGAACTTCGTAAACTTCTCCGAAGGCCAAGGGACTTCCGAATCTTCTGCGGAGGCCTTTTCCTTCTCACCTCCACCCCCCGGCTCGCCGCCGATTACTGGCGGCGGACGTGTCCAGATCCCCAGGTATGCACTGAGACATGTGAAGACGGAGCCTGCTCCTCGTTCTCGGCCTCTGGGGGCCCTCTCTAGGCCGCAGGGCCGCCAACAGAAACGGCTCACGAAGAGAGCAGGCCCTGGGGAAAATTCAGTGGCAACTCGTGGGGGCCTCCCGAACTATCTTGTGAGCTCTTGCGAATCAGCGCTGAGCAACGCTAGTCGACGCCAGTCGACGCTAAATCGACGATGAATCGACGCTAACCGACGCTATATCAGCGCTGTCTCGTCGAGTCCCAGACGCTGATTTAGTCGACGCTAAAGGCGGAACTAACAGGGCGCACTAGGTTCCCATGATTTTTTGCCACCGGAGGAAAAGGGTCGGGACTTACGGTGGCCCCGCACTGACGCAGCCGAGGCTTGTCTCTGTAGGGGTCCTAGCGGATGCATATGTTTAGGTGAAGAGCGTCACTGATTTCCGCGGCCCGCCCAGGTGCCCGGGTGCCCATGTGCCCGGGTGTCTTATAGCTCTATAGCCTATCGCCCTGTATCCGTGTATCCCTATAATCCTATAGCCCTATAGCCGTATAGCTATATACGCCTGTAGCCCTAAGCTTTATAGCCCTACAGCCCACTGGCCCAGTAGCCCAATGACCATGTACCCGTATAGCCCTACCGCTCTGTATGCCTATAGCCCTACTGCCAGCTCTATAGCCCGATAGCCCTTTTAGCCCCATAGCCCCAGAGCCTTATAGGCCTGTAGCCCTATAGCCCAATCGACCTGAAGCCCCATAAGCCCATAAGCTCTACAGCCTGATAGTTATGTGCAAGTGTATATATATGTCGATAGATTGATATATTGATAGACATAGTCGCCCCCCATTGTGATCATACCTCCACTTCTTCTCTGTGTCTTATTCCCCTCCAGTGTTCGTCGTCCACCTCCTCCTCCTCCTCCTCCTCCTCCGCCTCCTCCTCTTCTTCCTCCTCTTTCCTTTTCGAAGGGGAGGTTGGTTGTCAGGTGTTGGCCCAGAAACCCTGCGAAAACACAAAATCCGAATGATGTTGAAAGTTCTGGCACCACATCCAAACGCATATTAGCTGGATAATCCCACCAGCCCTCTGGGCGTAGGTGTTGTAGGGAATTCTTGACGCTTCGCGTATCCCCGCCAGCCCATCCAGAAACGATGTCCAGGCAAGTTGAAGAGATCAGGGAAGTGGGGGAGCAACGGGAGGGACAGCCGATCCGTGCAAAGGATGAGGCGGAAGAGGAGGCCAGATGGATAGATGAGGGGGTGGCGAGGAACCGAGCGAAGGAGGGATGAGAAGAATGATGACGCTAGGTGGATGGTTGAGTGCCGCTCGGATGCCTCTTGGAAGCCTTTTGGAAGCCTCTTCGGGCGTCTTGGGGGCCTCTTGGCGGTCAATGGGGGCTCTTGGGCGTCTTGGGTGCTTCGGGGGGGCCTCTTGAGGCCGTTTGGGATCCTCTTGGGGGGCTCTTGGGGGCCTGTTGGAGGCCTCTTGGGGCCTCTTGGGGGTCTGTTGGAGCTTCATGGCGGCCTCTTGGAGCCTATTGGAGGCCTCTTGGAACAATCCTGGGGGCCTCTTGGAGCCTCTTGGGGGCTTCTTGGGGCCTCATGGCGGCCTCATGGCGGCCTCTTGGAGGCCTTTTGGAAGCCTCTCGGGGCCTCCTGGGCGCCTCTTGGGGCCATCTTGGAGGAGATCGATCAAAGAAGAGGGTGTAGTTAATTAGCCTTGCCCCCCCAAAAGGCCAACACGGGGCCAACACCGTATTAAAACCGATGAGTTCGGCTTCGTCGCCGAGGCCGTTTTGGAGGTTCGAACTACCGGCGGCACCCCCCGTCCAAACCCAAGGGAGGGGGTTAGGGGGAGGGGTGAACCCCTCCCCGAAGGGGAAAAAAGAGGTTGGAAGACGAAACTCCCGGAACCACCCACGCCCAGAGGGCTGGTGGGATTTCCTCTTCCACCCCTCCTTCTTCCCCTTCGGGGAGGGGTTTACCCCTCCCCCTAACCCCCTCCCCTGGACCTGGACGGGGGGTTTCGCTGGTAGTTGGAGCGTCCAAAACGGCCTCGGCGACGAAGCCAAAATCATCGGTTTTACTACGGTGTTGGCCCCATGTTGGCCTTTTGGCCGGGCAGGGCGAATTAACTACACTTTTTTTTTTGGATCGATCTCCTCCAAGATGGCCCCAAAGGGCGCCCAGGAGGCCCCAAGAGGCTTCCAAGAGGCCTCCAAGAGGCCCCAAGAGGCCGCCATGAGGCCCCAAGAAGCCCCCAAGAGGCCCCCAGGATGGTTCCAAGAGGCCTCCAAGAGGCTCCAAGAGGCCGCCATGAAGCTCCAAGAGACCCCCAAGAGGCCCCAAGAGGCCTCCAACAGGCCCCCAAGAGCCCCCCCAAGAGGATCCCAAGCGGCCTCAAGAGGCCCCCCCGAAGCACCCAAGACGCCCAAGAGCCCCCATTGACCGCCAAGAGACCCCCAAGACGCCCGATGAGGTTTCCAAAAGGCTTCCAAGACGCATCCGAGCGGCATTCAACCATCCACCCAGCGTCATCATTCTCCTCATCCCTCGTTTGCTCGGTTCCTCGCCGCCCCCTCATCTATCCATCTGACCTCCTCTTCCGCCTCATCCTTTGCACGGATCGGCTGTCCCTCTCGTTGCTCCCCCACTTCCCTGATCTCTTGAACTTGTCTGGGCATCGTTTCTGGATGGGCTGGTGGAGATGCGCGAAGCGTCAAGAATTTCAGGTTTCGACGAGAAAGCCCGGAACGCACATATGATCATGATATTTCAAGTTTTCTGGATACGGGCGCGTTGCAAAGAGGCTGGGGGGGGCGGGGGGGGGGGGGGCGCATGGTTGGGGAAGGGCGCCCGCATTCAGAAAAGCAACAATTATCAATAATATCTGCGTAGTCGCAAGGTTTATTTACCAAAGCCTGTAAACATAGCATGATCATCTGTGTTTTCACGCGGCTCCCCCAACATAAGCTTCAACTATATCGGGATTATCTGCGATTTCAGAGGGTCCTCGCCTAAACCTGCAAGCGTATCAGGAATGGCCGTGCTCCCAAAAGGGTCCTTCAGACGACAGACCGTTGTAAGGCTACGGTTGCTGCAGATGCTTCTGCTGCTGTTGCTGCTGTTCCTCCTCCTCCCACCCCTCCTCCTCCCCCTCCTCCTCCTCCTCCGCCTCCCCCGCGTCCTCCCCCTCAACCTCCTCCCCATCCCCCTCGGGGCAATCTCATCATGGATCCCCAATGCGTCTGGTCGTGGACAGCAGGCATTGGCCAGCCGATTGGCAAACTTGGGCAACAGACGATGGGCAAAGCGTGCCATGAACATGAAAAGGATAAGTATGACGACGGCAGCGTTTTCTGGCAGATTGTGTTTGCGGTACGGCTCCCGTCGCCAGCTCAGTCGGGGCAGGCAGTGTAGAACCGATCCGGACTTAAAGTTACCAGGGACAGCGTTGGCCACTCGCTGCCCCCCGCCGAAGCAGACGCCCGCTCACTCCGAAGCATCGTCCGTGGCGCCGCCAATACCGAGCTGGTCGCCGTTGTCCGCGTCGTCGAACGCAGCGGCGAGGTCTTGGGAGCTCGGCTCGGCGGCAGCGCCAGGGGGCTCGTCGGGCGGGGTCGAGAGGTCGGTCTCGCCGTTCGGGGTGGCCCCGAAGGACCTGACCCAGCGGACGCGCTTGAGAAAGTTGGGGAGGGGCTTGCTGGCCGCCGCACCACTGCCCCCTTCGGCGCCGTCAGGGAGCTCTCTCTTCACCGAGAGGGGCATGGGCACGGCCCCCTTGCCCACGGCCTTCTGGAACTTGGTCTTCGCAAGGCGCTTGGCCTCTTTCGCCTTCAAGGTTGTCTTGCAGCGTTTGTATGCGCAGTTCGCCTCGAGCTTCGTGGTGTAGGCAGGGGTATCTCTACGAGGAATTCCCATTAATCGCTGGCACGAGCGGCGCGTCCTCACACAGAAAGCATGTTGAACCTTGATTGCAATGTCGGCCACAACGAAAATACAAGAACAATGCCTCCTCATCGTCCTCCTCCTCCTCCTCCACCTCATTATCATCATTATCCTCATCCTCCCCCTCATATTATATAGTTCCTCCTCATCCGCGGCATTCCCTTCCTCCTCCTCCTCATCATCATCATCATCATTACCATTGTCACCATCATCAGCATCGTTGTCATCAGCATCGCCATCAGCATCATCACCATCAGCATCGCCACCACATGCATCATCAACATCATCATCAACATCATAATCATCATCAGCATCATCATCATCAGCATCATCATGATCATCATCATCAGCATCATCATCATCATCATCGGGTCCGCACGCATCTTCTCTACTTCCTCCTCCTCCTCACTCATCTGATCAGGTTATTCCTCTTCCTCCTCATCCTCATCGCCGTCCTCCGTTTCATCATCACCTCCCTGGGGGTAGAGAAGGACAGCGATCCAGCGCGAGAGAACGCTAAGACGCCTGATGGTGCACTGCTGCATTGCCCCGCTAAAAGAAGATAAGAAAATGAGGAGGGGCGACGGGTAGCAGGAAGCAGACGAAGGGGGAGGGCGGAAGAATAACTAAGTGCAACTCACCGAAGACAAGTCACATGTTATGATCACAGGGGGGCGAGCTATGTATATGTATTTGTTTATGATTAGATATATTTGCATACGTACATACATACATCAAAGTGAGGGGGCCGAACGGTCATTCACTGTCCCTGGGTGCGTGGCTGAAGTGGGAATCCGCGGTGCGGATTCTCGTTATTGTTTGTTGTTTGTTGTTTGTTGTTGTTGTTGTTTGTTGTCGTCGTCTCACCCGCAACCCGCCCCGCGACCCACCCGCGACCCACCCCGCGACGCACCCGCGACCCACCCGCGACCCACCCCGCGACCCACCCCGCGACCCACCCCGCGACCCACCCCGCGACCCACCAGCGACCCACCCGCGACCCACCCGCGACCCACCCGCGACCCACCCCGCGACCGACCCCACGACCCACCCCGCGACCCACCCGCGACCCACCCCGCGACCCGCCCGCGGCCCACCCCGCGACCCACCCGCGACCCACCCGCGACCCACCCGCGACCCACCCGCGACCCACCCGCGACCCACCCCGCGACCCACCCGCGACCCACCTTCGACCCAAACCACGTTCAAGGTACAAACCACAATTTTCGGCGCCTGCGGCGGGCTTTTTTTGCATTCCTTCCAGGTGGAGGCCCGCGACCCACCCCGCGACCAACTCGCGACCAACCCGCGACCCAAACCACGTTCAGGGTACAAACCACATTTTTCGGCGCCTGCGGCGGGCATCTTTTGCATTCGTTCTAGGTGGAGAGACCGCGGCCCACCCGCGACCACGTTCAGGGTACAAACCACATTTTTCGGCGCCTGCGGCGGGCATCTTTTGCATCCGTTCCCGGTGGAGAACCCGCGGCCCACCCGCGACCCATTCCACGTTCAGTGTACAAACCAATTTTTTCGGCGCCTGCGGCGGGCTGCTTTTGCATTCCTTCCAGGTGGAGGTGGAGAGCCCGCGACCCACCCGCGACCTAAACCACGTTCACTGAACAAACCAATGCCGCACAAACGCGGCGGCGGATTTTTTGCATGCCGCCTGAGCCCGCAAGGACCTCTTCAAGCCCCGCGCATCCACACCAGCCCGTCCAGCAACTTTGCCCTGGCGAGTTGCCTTGATCAGAGAAGGCGGGAAGCATAAAGTGGAAAAAAGGACTGCGTTGCAGTTATCTTGGGAAAGGAGGGGGAGGCAGGAGGAGTAAACAGGGGACGAGGAGAACGCGGCAGAAGAGAGGATGTAAGGATAATGTGGAGAGAGAAAAGGAGGAGGAGCAGGAGGACGAGGAGGGGGAGGAGGGGGAGGAGGAGGACGAGGAGGGGGAGGAGGGGGAGGATGATGATGATGGACGACAATGGGAGGACGATGATGGAGGCCGATGAGGGGGTGGACGACAATGGGAGGACGATGATGGAAGGACGAGGGGGGGGAGAGGGAGGACGAGGAAGAAGAGGAGGAGAAGGACGAGGTGGAGGAGGAGGATGACGATGACGATGACGACGAGGACGAGGACGAGGAAGAGGAGGAGAGGAGGAGGAGGAGGAGGAGAAGGAGGAGGAGGAGGAGGAGTCGGAGAAGGAGGAGGAGAGCGCCATCGACAAGGAAGGTGGGGGCCACGAGGTCCGCCGGCTCGACGACGCCCGCGTCGCCCGCGCCCGCCCCCTCACTCTTATCCGCAATTGCGGGGTGCTACGTACCTATAGCCCTATAGCCCTATAGCCTTATGGTCCTATAGCCCTGTAGCCCAATAGCCCTGTAGCAGCCCTATAACCCTACAGACCTATAGCCCTATGGCCCTATAGCCCCATAGCCCTATAGCCCTAAAAAGGTGATGGTTCGGTTTTCTCCCACTGGTCTCAGTTTACACATTTTATATATATATATATATATATATATAGATGTGTGAGTATCTATGTCTATATATATATAGATATATACATACATATGTCTGTGTCCCTCACCCTCGCGGGCTGGGCACCCCGAGGCGCGAGTACCTGCCACCAAATGGCGTGGCCCCGTGGGCATACGCTCCGCGGAAGAAGAGTGAAAGAAAAGGGGGGCGCATCATGGCCCGAGGCATGTGCGCGGACGAGTACCGTCGGCCCGTATCAGGAGGATGCGCGTTGAGGATGCAAGGGGCCTCGGACGCCCATTCCGAGGCTCTTCCGGCGGGGCGCGGCCAGTGAGAGTGGCCAAGGATGGACCATCCTTACCGTGTGGGTTGACTGCAGGGGGCCAGTGAGTGTGTTGACACAGCCAGGAGGAGGCCATGAGATCTGGGGGATGTCATGGCCCCGACCATGATTTCCGCACCCCCCTGGTCCCTGGACGCCCCCAGTGTGCTCGTTGGGCCGGGGTGGGCTATCGGGCCCGTTCTCGGCGATGGCTGGGCGGCTGGGGGCCGATGCGCTCCCCCACGGAGCCGTTCCCCTCCGCTAGCCCAGACCCCCGACGACGTGATTTGTGTCCGTGGCCTGGACAACCCCAGCGGCCTGGACACATTCCCCGGGGCCAGTCTTCCTCGCCCCGAGTCGATCCCGAGGGCTGGCAAATACGGGCTCCGACAGGCCGAACATCGGGAAGAGCCCCCCCCCCTTGACATGATTTGTTCGTGACCAGGACCCCCAGCGGCCTGGACCTATTCCCCAGGGCCTGTCTTTCGCCCCGAGTCGATCTCTGGCCGCCCCGGGGGCTGGTACGGGCTCCCATGCATGAGGCCGAACATACAACCGGCCCGTGTCATAAGGATGCGCGACAAGGATGCAAGGGCCTCGGACGCCCCCTTCGCAGCTTTTCGAGCGGGGCGCGGCCAACGAAAGTGGCCAGGGATGGGCCGAGGAGGCAAGGATGCAAGGGTACTCTTGGGAAGGTTGCCCATACTATGCGGGTCGACTGTAGGGGAACACCTCCCGCCGTGACTTGCTCGTGGCCCGAGGGGGATCCGGCAACGTCGCCCCTGGCTCGGCGGCGCGCCCAGGGCGGGGGGCGAGACGGAGAAGGCCCCCTCAGCAGGCGGCGGGGCCTCCCGGAAGCCCCGCATGGCCTTCTGAGGAGTTTGCCGTGCCCTCGGGCCCAGACCCCCTCGGGTAATGAAGAAATCATGACGGGAGGTTTTTCGCAATTTTCGGCCTCGGGGGGCCCTCGCGGGGCATCGGGACCGTTAAAAAACGACTCAGGATGAAAAGCCGGTCCAGGGGAATGGGTCGAGACCACCAGGGGTCGACGTAATGAAAAAATCATGACGTCGGGGGTCTGGGGGGAAAGCTTAGACGACTTCTCGGGAGGCCCGGGGGCCTTCCGCCGACTCCACGCCACGAGCGGCCCCGGGTCATGAGTGGCCTCTGGTGCGCGGTTTTTGCTGGCCGCGCGGGGACCAAACACGGGCGCGCGAGGCGGCACCCCGCATCGCGTTCGGCGATCGGCGGGCACCGGCGGACCCGCACCAGAGAGGCAACTCCGGCGAAGGGCCACTCTTGTACCCTGGGAAGACGTACCAGGAGGCCCGATGCCTTTCGATCGGGGCGACGTAAGACTCGGGTTCGGGGGACTCGGGTTGGTCTGAAAGGGCCATCATTATTACAACGACGAGAACCAAGTCTGAAATTTGATCCGAGTTCCCGCTGCAGGCATCAACGACAAATGGACCGTCAAGATCCAGGACGCACTCGCTATGAAGCGTCCGCAGACCCGAGTTCCAGCGTACTCAAGTCTTACGTTTCCCCCCTTCCGAGCCTTCTGAACAGGCCCGCCGCCTCTCGCGTTTCTTTCCCGGGCCCGCCGCCGACTGTGACACGATCTGCAACCAGGCGGGGAGCTTCCTCGGGCCTGCCGGCTAGAGCCCAAACGTGGCCATTGAGGGAGCGTGGCGTGCGCTGCGCTGGCGGCTCCTCTCGGAAGTGCGCTGGGCCCTCCCCGGGCGATCGGGTCGCCACGCCTGGCTCGCGGTTCGAAGGGGGCGACGTCGTGGACGGAGATCGGGGCCCGGTGGAGGAGAAGCAGAAGGCAGGGGGAGGATGAGGAGGACAGCGGGGCAAAATGTGCGGGGGACCCGTGGAAACTTCCTCCATTGTTTCGTTTGGGCTTCGTCAGAGACCATTTTGGGAAGCGAAACTCCTCGGCGCACTCATGCGGCAACCGAGCCGTTTTGCCGGAGTCGCCAGGGTGCGCGGACGCTTACGCCTCCCCTGCATGGGGCGCGCCCAGTCGGACTCGCGGCCGCCGCAGGAGGAAAGTGGGGAGGCGCAGGGAGGAAGGACAGGGCAGGACAGGACATCCGCATGAGGGGGTCACCGTCGAAACGTTCGCAAAGCTGCTGCGAGGTCAGACTTCCGAATTCCCCCGCGAATGCAGTTTGCTGCAAACCCAAACTTCTCATGGGGCCAGCAGTGGGCATGCCCCGATGCCCTCTGGGGTGAGTTCCGAGGACGCCCCGTAAGAGGCTCGCTACCTTCAGCGAGTCCCTACGGGTCAGCGCGGGGGAGCGGCTGTTGGCCCTCTCGCGCACCCATTCCATGGGGAACGCGCTGAGCGAGCAGGGCCCCCAAGCAGGGGGAGGAAAACGACGCGACCTCACCTCGGCGACGCCGGGGAGAGAGGGGGGGGGGAGGTAACGCAGGAGGCCGAACTTATTTTATACCAGAAAGTCCTACTGGGCCCACGCTTCGAACAGACTAGACTCACTTCGCCTCCTCGACGTGCTGGTCGACGGCCAAACCCCGCAATGTAGTGTCCGACGCAGGCCCTGCGCCGCGCTGCATCCAAATTCCATGTATAAATTCATGTGCACCCCTGAAATGCCCCCTCCAGTCGACGCGTCTGTAGGAGCGAGCAATACCACTGATGTCACGGCGTGCGAAGGGGTCTTCAAATCTGCGATGCTGGCCATGTCCCACTGACGTTCCACGGGAGGAGGGGCTCTGGAGGAGAACGCTCTAATGGTCTCTGCGGGGCCCTCGTCTCGTCGTCTCAGTGGTGTTGCGTCCATCTGAATGTGCACTGTCTGATGTCTTCTTGCGCCCCCTGTCGGTGCTCTAGAAAAAGACGCTTCTGCCGGCGCAGGCTCCGATGGCCTGCGCGCCAGCGTGCCCTTGCCAGTGCAGCCGCGGGCGCGAGCGGGCGCTCTCGCGCGCGGCCGCTGGAGCTAGCCGCTCCAGCTGAAACGGCGCACTTCTCGAGAATCTCGGCGCCGTCGAGCAGAGTGCCCGTGCTCTCCCGCAGTTCCAGACGACGCTGGAGCCTCTCGACCTCCGTCCTCTCGAGCTTCTCGGTGGTCTGCAGCTCCCTCTCGGATGCCCCCGTGACGCTCTGCAGGTTATCCAAGTCGTTCTTCGCGATCCGCATCACAAGCTCGCACCTGCCACGCGTCTACTCGGCACCTTGCCATGAGCTCGCAGCCCTCTGCGCGGTGCGTCATCGGGGGGACGGGCGGGATCATCGCCTGCAGGTCATCTGGGCCCAGCTAATGGGCTGCGTCGAAGAACTGGCGGCGGTGCCGTTCGACGGCGTCGCCGCTCTTCTGCGGCAGCCTCTTGGCTGCAAATGCCTCCCACTCTCCATTTGCGAGGGGCTCCACCACAATCGTCGGGCCGTTGCGGCGCGGGTGGAACCGCGACACGCAGCCCATCTCGGGTCACTTCGCGTGGTCTTCTGCGAAGTCGCTCTTAATATTGCCCACCCATTCTTTCATGAGCTGATCCTTGGGGGAGCTCTCCCGGGCAATTACCGGCGCCTTCGAATCGACGCTGGGCCAGAACATCCACTGATCTGACCGCGAGGTAGCGCCGGGGCCCCACCACCGCAGCTTGCCAGGGAAGGCTAATCCGCACGAGCAGGCGCAGCGCTGGTCCCTGGCCCAGCCTGCGCGGCACCTGCACACGCTTTACAACTGCATGTTGTCGCTCCACTTGTCCACAAAGTCAAGCGCCTTCAGGTACTGGGCCTCTGCGCACCCATGTTCTTGCACGTCTTGTAGTTGCCACGATCCTGCAGCTCTTTCTCCTTGTCTCCCAACGCATGTTTAGCTGCCTCCAATGCTTCCCCGTCCTGCATGTCCATGAGCATGTGCTCGCGGAGCATGGCGTAGTACTCCTCCGCGCACTTCAGGGCGACCAGCATATCCCTGCCCAGCTGAATGAAGGCCGCGACGATGCCCCCGTTCTTCTTGATGCCGTCCACCAAGGCCTTCGACGCCTCCCTGAACCGCTGGGGGACCTTCTTGTCTATCTGGTTGCGCGACCTCTTCGGCTGGTTGTCTTGCTCCTCCACGTCGACGATCGCCTTCGCTGCTTGGGTTTGCCCCATGGACTGAGCAATCCACGCTAAGCCCCTTGTACGCTGCTTCTGATCACGGTTCACTTGTCCTTGTGTGAAGTACTTCTCCGAGCCATGGCGAAGCTTCTCCTCGTCGCCCCACTCGGACCATTCCTTGTGCTGACGGGTCATTCGCTGTTGACGCACAACCTCGTCCACTGGCTTCCTCTTCCTCCTGGGTGTCGTTCACGTCCCGCCACGAAGAGTTGCTGGGAGTAGCGCGCGGCCCGTCATCCGCTCCATCATGGCCCGCATCTCAGGTACGTTGTCGCCTGTCGGCTCCGCCACTTGCCAGGAGGGTCCCGGGCTGTCGGATTCCTGTCGGATGCGCGTCTGGACCACCGCAAGTTCGCACCAAGGCTGTGGTTGAGCCAGATGGGTTGTTGAAGCTGATGGTAAGCGACGGGGGTTGGTCTCCTCTCTGAAATTTCGCGTTGTGTCCAGTAGTCCCCAAGTATTTCTCGTAATATTCTGGGGTCGGGGCCCACTGCTGAGCCCTCACGTCTGTCCGTGACTCATTGCTGAATTTATGTTGTCTGTTTGATGTCTGCAAAATACGCGAAAGCGCCACACACGCCGCGTCGCCACGACTGTAAATGGCCACGGGGAAATGAGGGGGGCAAGTAGGGTAATGCTGGGAGGTGTCGAATCGTCACTATGTCTTGTCTGCCTGCCTGCTCCCGAACCTGTTCGTTCCGTAGCAGTTGTTGCGTGCGCGATATGTTCCCCAACCCTCCTGTGCCGGTGTGGTATTGAACAGAACGTTGTTGCTCCTCTCCTCCTCGTCGCCTCCACCTCCTAACTCCATTGTCGCTCTCCGCGTCTACGGCCGACCTCACTGCTTCTTCACTCCCAACCCTCCTTCTACTGGGCTCCGGTTTGCAGGGGGCACCTGTTGCTCCTCCTTTCCCGCCACCTCCTCTCCGCCCCGTTTCCTCATTGCTTCCTTGCGGCCCCCTATAGGTATCAATTCCTCCTGGGTTCCCTCACCCCCTTGTAACAATGCTGCCAACTAAGGAAAGTCCTCCCCGTCCGTGGGTTCCTGGGAGATCAAGCGACATGCAATGATGTTTCGCCTCCTTGCGCGCGACCGAATTCGCAACTCCCTGGGTGCTGTCACGCGCAAACGTCGCCACTTTCGTGGGCCCCTGGGACCTACGCAGGCCCGGACGGGACCTCGCCTCCCTGGGCGCTGCCACTTGCTGCTCATCTGTCGTCATTGTCGTGAGCTGCTGGGAGGCTCGGCGGAGTGCGGTAATACGAATAGCCAAGCAGGACTTCGCCTCCGTGGGAGCTGCCATCTTAGAACATGTCGCCACTTGCTGTGAGCTCCCGAGAGGTGCAATGGAGTGGGGGTTCTGCGCAGGCAAAACAAACATCTCACAAGCCAGCTGGCTGCGCCACTGCGCGCTGCAAGTGCCCGCGCCCGAGCGCACGGGGCCGCCAGTGAGAAAGTGGCGCGCGAGCTCGGCTTGGTGATGTCCCTGCACGACTCTGACAGCTGCAACACTAGCCGTTCTCATTCGCCGTCGGTTGCAGTGCTGTTTCAAGTGACCTTCGCTTTCCTACTCGACGACGTGCGTCCTCCTTGTCCCCCTGCTCCCCCATTCTCTCTGCCCTCTCTCCTTCACACATTTTCCTCCTCTGCCTCAGTGTGCTGATTCGTTTCCACCCTGCCACGTAGGATCCGTCTTCACTTCGCCCCCCGTTTGTTGTTCGTCCTCGTCGAACGTTTCCTCCTGCTCTTGGTACCAGACTGTTACCACGCATTGGGATGCCGACCCTGCCTGACATCATCAGGCGCTCAACGCAACGGTGTCGTATGTAGCTGGTAAGGAGATGGCATTTCCCTTGATTGTATGGGCCCACCCGACCGATATCGCCATTCGTTCCGATGTTTTCGGTATCTGGGTAGTTGAACGATCAGCTTGCTTGCTCGTGACAGAAAAGCGACATACAGGTTACACTGTCTACGCTCTGTGCGGAGTTCTTGGGTCGTCGCTGGACCTCCAACATCTATGCTTATGCAAACCCTCCATGTATTCAAGACTTGGACAATGAACTCCTCTCAACTGCCGCCATCATGCCGTCATAGCTCGCGCGCTTCATGGCGTTGCCGAGGGTCTCGTAGGCGTTGTTGATGCGCCGGATCATCTCCTCGAGTGGCCAGGCCGACTCCCGAAGAAAGGATCCCTCCTCCTGCTCCCTCTCGCACCATGTTTTTCCTCCACTTCCCTTCCCCCCCCCTCCCCCTCTCCTCCCCCCTCCCTCCCTCGCACACCTCCCCTCCCCTCCCGTGCCTCCCTCCCCCCTCCCCCTCCTCCCCCCTCCGCCCCCTCTCCCTCCCCCCTCCTCCCCCCTTGCCTCCTCCTTCCACCCTGGCGCACGCTCACGCCCGTGCGAGGGCGCGCGCAAGCACATGGGAGCGGGGGAGGCGGAGGGATGATGAGAATGATGGGGTGCTGGGGAAGGGCGCCTCGGTGGGTGGCAAAGAAGAGTGCCAACACGTCCGACATCCTCGACCCTCCAGT